ATTTAAATATATATATATATATATATATTGTCAAAATGTCCTTAAAACAATTTTATACATGTATTCTAATCTGAGTGACACTAAATATTATGAAAATTATCCATTTATGTGCTTTTTCAAATCACGGTTCCGAACGTAGTCGGATACCTTAAGGTAGTTATTTAAGGTAACCGACTACTTGCACCAACTTTTTTTTAAAAAAATGGAGATATGGAGATTTTTTTTTAGACTTATTTAGTATACTTTAGGTAAAAATTGGCAAACAATTACATTAACTGGGCCCGTTCTGTACAAATAGTAAATGAACAAATTCTCAATTTTTCAATTTTGATGTATTACTTTGTTTTTCCTTTTTGAAGTGACCTTCACGATAAAAGATATTTTAATTTTTACAAAAACTATATAGAGCAGTTTATCTTAATTTTTATATGAAATTGCTATAAAAAACAGTGATTATATTCACATAAAGAACTGTAAATTTTGTAATAAAACAGCGATTGATAAATCTGAAGATTAAAAAAATTCCACTTTATACAGAACATACAAAAAAAAAAATTTCAGCAAATTATTTTAAAAACTTTTTGAGCAATCGCTGTCCCCGTTTGAGTTTTTTGAAAAAAACACATCTCGTGTGAAACGCATTTTAAAGTTTGACATCTTATGTAAAGTTACTGTGTTTGCTTTTACTAAAACACTTGTAGTTTTTGTTCTAGTGAATGGAAAATAAAAAACTTGGTATTTTTATAAAGCTAATAAGATGGCCTAAAAAATAAAAGAAATTTGTCAGTATTTAAGAAAAATCATGATTTTATGGGAAGTCGGATACCTTTATATATATATAAGATTGCTATTTCTACATTACAAATTATTTTCCCTTAGCAAAGTTCACTAAGAATCAGTGTAAAGTTTACTGAGAAGGTGTATCATCTTCATGCTCCAAGCTAGTGTTCTTAGATGATGGACACACTAGTCTAGGGGTGGCAAACCTTTACGGATCAACGTGCCATTTTTTCTAAAGATGTGTTTAATGAGCTATAGACGTGCCATCAAATAATTTTGAATTGTGATTATTTGGAAAAAAGTGATTATTTGGAAAAAATAATAAAACTAAATACTAACACACACAAAGCTCTTTATTTACTATGAAAAAATACCTTTTGTATTGTATAGTTGTGAATATTTTAGTGAATACATGTAATTCGACTTATAAGTAAAGATTAGTGTGACTTCTGTTGTTGCAGATTGGATGACAAATAACTTAAATTAGGATAGTAAGATGTTACTTTTAGTAGAATGCATGCTGAATTGGAGTCATCTGCCGAATGATTTCTAAGCAATTAATTACTTTTGCTGTGGTTCACTTTTTTGACAAGGATTTGTGATTTGTTTCAAAATGCGTTTTACAGACGATGTTCCGCATACCACTATTCCAGAACCTAAAACACACGCCACTTTGTCGCCTTTAATAATAATGCCATATTTCTATACAGATTTACCAAATTTGAAATTCTCTGTTACACTTACTATCTTGCACTTTTTGTTCTTTTGCTGAACTAGCCATGTTAAATAACAGTTAAAAATCGTAAATAGAATACAAATAAACTTTAAGATACAGTTGTGTCAATGAAATTGATTATGCCATCAGTAGACAAACTTAGCATCACGAGCAATTGTAGTCCAGGACGTAACTAAAGCAATACAATAACAAACGAGTGTGCTTCCTGCGAGCGATCTTTCGCATTTGTTCGTAATACTTCATAGTGAACTTTGTTATTTTGGAATAAGATGCAAACCATTTTAAACGTTGGCGTGCCCAAAATATATTGAGTCGCGTGTCATTGGTTCGCCATCCCTGCACTAGCTAGTCCCATGTTCTTATTCATAGCGGAAAACAGCACGTGCCATCCAACATCCCATCCAGTTAAGAAGCACTTCATTCCAGATCTTAATTGTAGCCGAGTAATTTCAACCACGAATAGCCAGACTACGGACAAGGCACTTTACAGGGATGAAAATATTCCCTAATGGCCAAAGTTATAATACTTGTCCTGACATTCAACTTTCTCCTAACCAGGCTTTTAATTGTCCTTCTATATTAGCTAAACTCCCCAACATAGACCTAAACCACACGGACTATCAACTGCTTTGTTCGCCAGAGATCGTCGACACAGCAAGGGCCGTTTTGGAAGCTTTCGGCGCCATTTCATTTCACTACATGGACAAGAAAACAATAACACGTACTTACATTGGTGACGGTCTGCTACTACTCTTTCACCTTCTGCGCATGCGTCATTTCTGCAACCTTACGTTCCTTCCGTCGTTTAACCAGCAATGAATGCGGTTTGTTATACGGTATCTTACAAAAAACAGGATTAAACTTAACTTCAGAACATCCCTCGTACATATATTTTACAAAAATAAAGCTTGAATATTAAGCTCATGATCGAGGAATTCATTGTTTTTGAAAAGAAATTTAACTCTCTTTAGGGAAGGGTATGTAATCCTTTCGCCATATCTGGATTTTTCAGGTTGGAGTTATCAAAATTTGACTATTTTCAAGCATCATTGGCAAGCAAAAAGCACTTGAAATTTTTTTTCTGAAACATGGTATCTACTCGAAATTGATACCTATGTATAAAACGGTTCATCGAACTCAAATGAACATAACTCACAAGACATCAAAGTAGTATTTGGATGAAGACTTACACATTTGGAAGCCACAGAGAAAAAGAGACGGGAGGAGGGGGCAAGAAATAAAAAAGGTACTAAAAATGCTATTAAAGTCACAAGTAGGAACAATGCCTTTTCACTCGTTGACGTAAGAATGCTTCCAACAATATCCCAATTTCTGGAAGAAAAAAAAATTATCACTCTTTTTACGAGCGATGCATTGTAGCAAGACGACATTAAACTCATGTTTCGGTTCGTAAAACATGTCATACCAAATTGTTTGTTCCAAAGGGGTTTTTTTTTATTAAAAAAAAAAAATGACAAATCGTTCTCGGAACAAAATATTCAACCAAATGATTTTTACAGATTTAAGAAAATAATTTGTTCTAGGATTTATATATTTATTAAAAAATATGAGTAATGAAAATTAACGTAGCACTAAGACGCTATTGGCGGCGGACCTTGTAATTTTGAACCACGTTCAAGTGACAATGATAACACTTGAGCTGACATCCCCTCTTCTGAATTTCCTCAACACACCAACGTGAAAACTTTGAGCAAAGACATTTTAAACATGCATCAAGCCCAATACACAGCGTTACACGGTTTTGAAATAACACTGCCTAAGAAAATATTCCCTTTATTATTTTTTTTTAACACGACTAAATTTAACTGTTTAGGACAGCTGATTGTTATGCAAAAAGAAAACGACAAAATCATCAATTGGCTGCTAGTTTAATTTCTAGAAACCTTAATCCTGGTGCGAGTCTAGAAAATTTTTTAAACATAGACTCAAACGTAGAACGCACCCAAAAAAATTCCAACGAGATCGAAATATTTATTTAAATGGGTACCAAAAATTATATAAAATACTGAACTCAGTTGAGTAACAGCCCATGAGGGCCAAGGCCTGCTGTGCCTATCTCAGTTAACATGACCTTAGGTGCTGGGGTGCATGTTGTTTCGGTCAAGTGATCAATCTGACGCGGAAACCCCCAGTGTTCAGTTCCCAAGCAAGCTTGGTACTCATTTATCGATCCACTGAAGGGATGAAAAACTGAGTCGACCTTTCCAAACCCGGGATTCTTAAAAAATTCTATAAAGCTTAGTTTTCAAGCTTGTTGCCACATTATGTACAAAAAATAAATTAATTAATAACAATCGAAATGGAAAAATAAAACAAAAATAAATTATACTAAAGAGGTAACGGATCAAAATCGTTTGCATAACACAAATTGCTCGAAAAATAATTACAATCATATTTGTTCTGCAATACCTATGAAAGAATGTTTCAGAATTGTTTATATAAAACTGTTAGGATAAATTAGTGAACAAGAATGATTATAGAATAATAAAAATTTTAGCTTATTTCGTCTCATACAAAATGATTTAAAATTTTCAAAAATAAATATTGTATTTATTGTTTAATCTAAAAGTCAAAGCTTAGTTTAAAATGTCAAAAGATTAATCCCATAACTACTCAGTCCAGTTTGCAGATACTAATACATGAAAGAATAAAATATAAATGCGAATACGAAACTTTTAAATTTCGTCATGTGAACATAAGGTGTTCAAATACAAAATGGTGTCAAATTTAGTCTACTGAATATATGTGTGTGTGAGTACGTACTGTCAAAACATTGAATTGAAGGAAATAAATTCAGTCACAGTAAAACAAATAAAAGGTTGGAAAATATTGAATTTAACTCAACAAAGTCTACATCAAAATTTGTCCCCATGTGATCTCTCTCCATTACACTTATAAAAAGAACACACTTACTAAAGAACTTGCACTAAATCAAATCGTTAAAAGTTAATATCGCAAAACAGCTTCGAAAGAAATTCATCTTAAACGTCATTAACGTACTAAAATCTTTTTTTTAATTAAAACAACGCAAGCGACGAATTGTATAGCATAATAGATCTTTCTAGTCAGAACAGAGAACACGATTTATCTCGTTGTAAGCAAATACCCCCTATTATTAACACAAAGATGAATAATTCATTAAAATCATCTCTAGTACTTTGCTTTTTATTTTGGTTTTTGAAGTTATACATCTTTTGGGGCGTTAGAGAAATAGGATGAGGGTAAATTTTTACAATGCGCGCGCACACCGTCACGGATGCGAAACTCCTTTGTCTAGAAATATACAGAAAGGGACAAATCATTGCCACCTTCGAAATTCTCAGAAAAAATATTTCTCTTCACTTCTTGAAGGGGGCACCTGGGTTTGAACCAGAGACCTCTCGATCGGCAGTTGAATGCTCTACCTCACTGAGCTATAACACCCGCATCAGCGAACCTTTGCTTCGTGTTCCGTAGGAACGTATACGAAAATGCTTTGTCTAGAAATATGCAGAACGGGACAGATCATTCTCGCCTTCGACCCCCTCCCCATATTATTGGTCATATTGTCCCTGTGCGGGGGTGTTTAAATTTATTTAAATCATGATTATCTCAGGTTTGGTTGGTCCGATTGAGAATGCAGGTTAGTATCGTTCAACTCTGCTCGTAACCGCCTTTCATCCTTGGCTCAGCTAAAGATTTTTAGAAAGATTTTAATCTTGTTAAGCCAAAGTATAACTTCTTACGTGCGTACATAAGTACACACAAATTTTTTTTCTCTCTTTTTATAAATCCTTTCATCACTTTAAAGTTTTTCTTACACTATGCGTGTACTTTCAAATCAAATGCATTTTGTTTACCTATATGTGTTGTTAAATAAGATTTTAAAAGAAGGTTTCTGTAAAAGGCAAAAGTTGGCAACAGTGAAGCGCATGAATTGTCTGGAAACAAGTATTCGCCTTTATCATATGACATTACAGTCACGTGAATTGAGCCCAGAGGTGGCCAACCCACGGCTCATGAGATTTTTTTAGAACTCTACAAAATATGATTATTTTCTGCAATATTTTATAAATATCAATAGAGTTTTGTAGCAAATATATCCTATAACTGTTTCACGTTCTATTTTATTACGTTTCAGTTTTCTTTCATCACGTTGCTTCTGTTTTTATAGATACTTAGAAGTATTGTAATGCAGCACGCGATACCCCCCCGTAGCATCGCTGTTTGTCCCTGTAATTTTTTTTTTCAACTTACACCTGCGAATCTTCCTTTTCGAAAACGAAATTTATCAAACATAAATTGGGCTCAAAGCTTATCTGACAAAAAACTGCAACATCTACTAAACTAAACTAAACTCAGTGGCGCGACAGCCCATGAGGTTAAGGCCTAATGTACCCATCTCAGTATGCGTGACCACTAGGCACTGAGGGGCATCAACAGATGTTCCTATCAGGTGATCAGTCTGAAGCGACCCTACAGTGTTTAGTCCCGAAGCAAACTTGGTACTCATTTATCGACCCAATGAAGGGATGAAAGGCTGAGTCGACCTTGCCCAGCCCGAGGATAGAACCCCAGACCTGTAGGGTGGAAGTGCGATATGCTTTCACTCGGCCACTGGGCCTTACAACATCAATTACGATGTGCAAACACACGCATTGAGATCGACTTGCAAAAACTAAGAGAAAGAATTGAAAAAAAATCTCATTTTTTAACCTTTTATGTACCGCATTATGATTTACTACAGTTTTTTTTCATGAAATACTTTTTTTTTGGATCACTACATTGAAAATTAAGGGATATACATAAACAAAACACTCAAATTTGGGAAATTTAATCCGTTACAGCTAATTAATTAAAGATATTCAACTGTAAAATTAATTGTGCACACTGTTCACTTAAAATAGTCAAATCGTTTTCTAAGGTCTTCATTAACATACAAAAAAATAAGACTCTTAAATTTTGACATTAAGTATTTTTTCGGGACAAAAATGCTAATCTTCGCAATCCGCTGAAAACGCCGTCAGCTGAAAACGCAATTTCTGCTAAAAAAAACTATTCGCCTTCCCTGCTAAAATACTCATCATAGAACCTGTGCTGCCATAGAAGAGTGGATTTCAAGGAATATTTCTGCTAAGTATCGTCATAATATTCGTAAAAATGTTTATTCTATATAATTTTAAAGTGAGTGGTACTTATAAGTACCGTTAATAAATTAAACATTAAATAAATAAATTAAACATTATTTGATCATTCATTACAATTATATTATCTATGACTGTACACATGAAAAATAATGAAAACAATAATAACAGTTCACTCTGTTTTAAACTTTCATTTTAATGAATGTATGTAATGGGTCTAAATCTAATAAAAAGATTTTATACGCGGCTCGAGGGATTTTAATGTTTTTCGGAAGTGGCCCGCAAGTCATTTGGGTTGGCCACTCCTGATTTAGCTTTTTGTTTACTAATGTCGCACTCTAAAGTAACGTGAGGTGTACTGGAACCGGACCTCGTACTTTTGCACCTCGATCGTGTGAAGCTGACACGACACCCAACCATCCAAACTTCCACATCACGCGTTTAGCCCATCGAAGCCTAAAACATATTGAAAACTGTAAAAGACTTCATTTATGAGTGAGTGAATATTAACGTCGCACTGTTCAACTACACGAGGGCTTTTAGCGACGGACCACGTCATTTTGAACCATGGTCAAGTGACCTGGACGACACCTCTGTGAGCTGGAACCCACCCCTCTCCTAACTACCACACCACACCAACGGGAGGACGTTTCAGCTCTCGACAGATTTAGCGTGCATCGCTGCCCAA